GTCCGGGCTGGGGATTCGAACCCGCCACCTTAGGTGTACGTGGCTGGCGCCTTAGCCGGTTGAGCTATAGGCGCCGAGCCTCAAAGTATTCTTTATAGCAAGTAGTTATATATTTGGGGTGACATTTCTTTAGCTCCTTTGCCTTCTTTGTAAAAGTTGACAAGCTGATCCTAAAATTCATATGGAAATGCAAGGGAGCCGATAGCCAAAACAATCTCTAAATAATAAGAACAAAGTTGAAGGATGCATACTTCCCAATTTCAAAACTTACTACAAAGCTACAGTAATCCAAAAAGGATGGTACTGGCATCATAGGAGACAATATTAGGTCAATGTTATATAACTTAAGAGTCAGAAATAAACCTATGTATTTGTCTATTGTTGATTTTCAATAAGGGTGCCAAGGCTATTCAATGAGGAAAAGAATAATCCCTTCAACAAATGGTGCTGAGACAACTAGATAGCCACATGCAAAAGAATGAACCTGGATCTCTACCTAACACCATGTAAAAACAAATTAACTCAAAATGGATCACAGATACAAATGTAAGGGCGGAAACTATAAAACTCTTAGAAGAAAACATAGATGTAAATCTCCATGACCTTGGGTTAGGCAAGCAGTTCCTTCAACACAGCCACAAAATTTCTTTCTTCCCCCCCCCCAGGCATTTCAAAATCTACTGTATGTTATTACCTTAATATGAAATTGGTAAAAACAATTTGCTTCTACAATTCAAAATGTTTCTAACTATAATGGAGAAGAATGTTACTCTGAACACCTACTTTTGACATCGCCTATGACACTCGCATAAGTCAATAACAAAGAGCCTCTCTGGGTAGATTTTCTTTATGCATCTTACATTTCAGTGTCCTCAGTATTTATTGGAAGAGGTTATGAATGACACCCACGTAATTTAAATGAACCTTTCATAGTGTTGATGCAGCAATAATTGACCTCATGCTTTCACGGAAACTCTAAGATCAAAGGCATAGCATCAAATAATTTGAGAGTTGAATAACACCAATGTTCAAATTTCTAGAAAAACTAAGATTTTTATCACAAAAAGAATACTTTTCATGTAATTATAACTTGCCATAAAATTGATCTCTTGGGCCAGTCACGGTGGCTTGCGCCTGTAATCCCAGCACTCTGGGAGGCTGAGGTGGGTGGATTGCCTGAGCTCACAGGTTAGCCTGAGCCAGAGTGAGACCTCATCTCTGCAAATAGCTGGGCATGGTGGTGGGCGCCTGTAGTCCCAGCTACTTGAGAGGCTAGGGCAAGAGAATCACTTGAGCCCAAGAGTTTAAGGTTGCTATGAGCTAAGACGCCATGGCACTCTACTGAGGGCAACAAAGTGAGACTCTGTCTCGCAAAAACAAAAACCAAACCAAAACAAAACAAAACAAATCTCTTGCTCCTCTTAAGCAAACCTACACATCAGTTATCTATTTTAACTTCAGATGATTCTCTATATAATCAATTCTGTTTTAGAGTAATGTCTGAAAGTATTAGTGCCTTAGTGCTTTCTAGTGAGACTCCCCTGAAGTTTATCTAGACTTGATTTTTTATTGAATATTTTCTTTTTAGCATTATGGTATCTGTAAAATATCTTTTATAATAACCTCTGCTTTTTTCTAAGGTGTGCTTTTTTTTTTTTTTAACACTTTTTCTTTTGCATTTATTACATTTGCAGAGTTTCTCTCCAGTCCAAATTCTCTGAACGTAATTAAAGCTTGAGCAATTGATAAAGAATTCATTCCAATATCCCACTGTTACCCAGTATGACTCTCTGATGTTGAGTAATACGTGAACAGTTACTAAATATTTCCCCCCTTTCTTTATATTTGTAAAATTTTGCTCAGGTATGAATTCTCTCATGTATAGTAAGTTCAGAGCACTGGGTAAAGGGTTTGCCACATTCTTCACATTTGTATGGTTTCTCTCTGGTATGGATTATCTTATGTTTATAAGGGTTTGAGCACTGGTTAAAAGCTTTGCCACAATCTTCACAAAAGCAACGTTTCTCTTCAGTATGGATTATCTTATGTTTAGTAAGGTCTGAGCATCAAGTAATGGCTTTGACACCGTCTTCATGTTACCGGACAAAGAGGGTCTGTCCGCCTGTCACTGTCAGCCAATATGCAGAGACAGGGATAGGTCCACCAAATTTTATTTGTCAGAAGGCTGGGATTCTGGAGAACAGTGAGAGTAGCCTCTCCAAGACTGTTCTGTTCTTCCATTTCCAAAATTACAGTTTTAAACAAAAAAGTTCAAAGCAAAGACCACACCAACCTCTATTCCCAGTAATAATCAGCGACCTGTTACAACAATCTCCTAAATCAATCCACCTAATCTACTCAAGGTAGGCATCTTTAGGGTGAGAGCTGAATTTACAAAACAATAAGAATGGGAGACAGGGGGTGAAGGTCAGGCAGGACCTAAACCGACCAGACCAACTGTGTCATGTCTGCTCTAGCCTGCTTGCCTGACTCCATTTTATTCTCACTACATGTGCTTTCATTCACATTTGTATGGTTTCTCTCCAATGTGAAATTTCTTTCAATTACTAAGGTATGAGCACCAAAAAAAAAAAAAAAGGCTTTGCCTGATTCTTCACATTTGTAGGGTTTCTCTCCAGTGTGAATTCTGTTATGACTAGAAAGATGTGAGCACCAATTAAAGGCTTTGCCACTTTCTTCACATTTGTAGGGTCTCTCTCCAGTATGAATTATTTTATGTTTAGAAAAGTTTGATATGTGATTAAAAGCATGGCCACAAATATTTACAGGTATACAGTTTCTCTACAGTATGAATTATGTTATGATTAGAAAGGCTAGAAGATATTTAAAGACTTTGCCACATTTTTCACATTTGTAGGGTCTCTCTGCAGTATAAATTATTTTATGTTTAGAAAGGTTTTATTTGTGATTAAAAGCTTGGCCACAATTTTCACACATACACAGTTTCTCTCCAGTATGAATTATGATTAGAAAAGCTAGTAGATATTTAAAGACTTTGCCACATTCTTTACACTTGTAAGCTTTCTCTCCATTATCAATTATCTTATGTTCAGGAATGTGTTGAGCACTGGTTAAAGGCCTCCCACATTCTTTACATTTAAAGGGTCTCTCTACGGTATGTCTCATCTTATGGGTGGCTTTTGAACATTGGTTAAGTCCATCATAACATCCTTTCTTATTCTTACACTCACCCACACTTTCCCAGTCTTCAATTAAATTTATATTCTCAAGGCCACAACTTCCTTATCTCCTCAGTACCACTTTTAGGAAAGAAATATTTATGCCCTGCTCTGGAAAATGGTTTCGGGTGGAATGAGAAGGCACAGCTGGGTGTTCCTCAACTGTCTCAGGCCTCATCACATTACAGAGCTATTTCCTTTGCTCCAGACAGGTGATCTAAGATCATGCTTAGAGACAGCAAGACCCAGGAGACCAGGTTTCCATAGTTGTCTAACATCTCTATAGAAATTCTGCTGAGCAGGGCCCAGGAATGCCCACTCTTCCAGAGATAATTCTATGGTTATATCCATGAATGTCAACAGTTCCAGTTCGTGGCTTCTGGAATCTCCTGCCATTTTATGCACAGATCTTCCAGTACCTACAGGTCACAAGAGGACAGAGGTTGTGGCAGAGCCACCCAGACCTCCTACAGCAATCAAGATTTTTCTTTTGACAAATTTGACTACATCCATATTAAAATCTTTTGTGCAACAAGGGACTCTATCCAGAAAGTTGAAGAACAACCCACAGAATGGGAGAAACAATTGCAAATCACAAATCTAATAAGGGCCTATTTTCCAGAATATGTAAAGAAGTCTTAGGACTCCACAGCAAAAAGACAATCAATCTAATTAGTGGTCCAAGGACCTGAGTAGACATTCCTCCAAAGCAGATGTACGTAGTGCCAAGAAGCACATGAAAATATGTCTTAGTCTGTTTTCTGTTCCTGTAACTGACGACCTGAGACCTAATTTATAAAGAAAAGAAATTTACTTCTTACAGTTCTGGAGGCTGGGAAGGCCCAAGAGCGTGATGCTGGTATCTGGTGAGGGCCTTCTTGCAGGGTCATAGCGTGACAGAGGGCATCACATGGTGACAGGGTAAGAGCGTGTGTACCCCCTCAGGTCTCTCTTCCTCTTCATAAAGCCCCCAGTCCCACTGTGGGGGTCTCTACCTAATCCCCATTGTCTCCCAAGGGCCACACCTCTAATCACCATATGAATTTGAGGATTAACTTTCCAACACATAAAATTTGGGGGACACATTCAAAGCATAGCAACACCATTATCCATTTGGGGAATACAAATGAAAACCCCTGTGAAATAGCACTTCATACCCGCTAGGTATGGCTATTATAAACACAAGAAACAACGTAAATAGAAAACAAGTTTTGCCAAGGATGTGGAGAAATCTAGACCCCGCAGTTTACTGCTGTTGGGAGTGCAAAAGGGTACAGCTGCTGTGGAAATCAGTTGTGTCGTTCCTCAGTAAGTTCAACATAGCATTACTATATGGCCCAACAGTTTGACTCCTACAGGTAGACTCAAAATAGTTGAAAACATGTGTTCAAACAAAAAGTTGTACAGGCATGCCCATGACTGTTACAATAGCCAAAAGGTGGAAATCACCTAACTGCCCATCAACTGATGAGTGGATAAATAAGGTGTGGTCGTTTCATACAACTGAACCCAGATGGATGAACCATAATGAAAACATGGTAAGTGAAAGCAGACACAAAAGGCCATGCGTTTATTGTTAAAATCCCATCGATAGGGAATGTCTAGAATAGGGAAACCTCTGTGGACAGAAAGCAGATAGTGGTAGCCAGGGACTAGGGGGAGTGTGGGTGGTGGTGATGTGTGTGGTGGGGTGGGGTGGGGCATGGCAAGTGGTTGCTTAATGGGCACAGGGGCTTCTTTGGGACGTGCTGAAAATGTTTTGGAACTATGTGGCTGCAATGGCTACCAACGCCATTGCAGTGAACGCATTTAATGCCACCACCCTCCTCCCACCCCCTCCATCTCTCGCACGATGTCCCCACCCAGTAGAAAGCGAGAGTTCCCCCAAGGAGTGGGTCCAAGGACGAGGGTACGCGGCGTCCTCTCAGGTCAGTGCAGGCCTGCTCCCTGTGGGCCACGTGGAAGGCAATGACGTCGGTCGACACGCCCTGACGTGAGTGCATGCAGCTCGCTCCCCGACCAATGAGGGCCCGGCCCACCGTTGGGAGGATACGGAGTAAGGGCCAGTAGCCGCTTCTGAGAGCCGTCGAGTCTAGCTAGGCTGAACTGAGGTAGAAGCCGCAGGCCACGTCCAGCATGCCGGGCAACAAGAGCCGTTGAGGGCGGTCCGGTCATCATCGGAGTCGCCACCGCTGGCGCTCAGCCAAAGCCCAGCTGACGTTCTCAGTGAGCCAGATGGAGCGCCTTCTGCAGAAGGGCCACTATTCCCAGCGGCTGAGCGCCTCTGCTCGGGTTTTCATCACTGCCATCATCCAGTACCTGACAGCCAAGGTTCTGGAGCTGGCGGGCAACGAGGCCCAGAACTAAGAACTACGGCCGGAGGCGCATCACCTCGGAGCTGGTGGACATGGCGGTCCACAACAACTCTCTGCTCAGCGGCTTGTTCGGGAGCACCACCATCTCTCAGGTCGCCCCGGGGCAGTAGTAGCTGCCGGCCTTGGCTCCTGAGCCTTGTCAGGCCTTGCGTCCGCCAGGCTGCCCATCTGTCTGCCCAGCTGCCCAGCTGCCCAGCTGCTGTCCGTCCTTCCGCATGACATCCATCCTCCCAGCTGACCGTTCGTCCTTCCAGCTGCCGTCCAGACTCTGACCGTCCGCCCTCCCGACGCCAACGTCTCCCCCTCTCTGCCCACCCTCAGCGAGTTTCATTAAATGTTTGCAGAACCTCACGCGTGTGCTGGAGTCACTTTGCGTCGCACAGGGTTATGGGCTGCCGTAGCCGCAGGGAGGGGCGGGCGGCCGGGGCGCGGTGGGACTCGGCTGTGGCGCCGAGGAGCAGTGTCCCCCATTGGCAGTGCAAGGTGGCCCTGGGGGAGGGGCTGAGTGGGGTGGGGCGACCGCGGACTCCGCTGTCACCGTCAGCGCTGAGCAGGTCGGGGCCTGCCTGGCCAAGGCGCCAGAATGCTGCGGTGATGGGACGGACCTGGAAAGGCTGCCAGGACAGGGGTGGACAGGTGGACGGAGCGGTCGGCGTGCGCTCCAGTGGGTTAAGGGCTTTGCCCAGGCAGGAGGAGTAATGACCACACAGCCCAGAAACACACAAACACGGACTAGGTAGGGGGTCAGGCAGGGTCTCGAGTTGAGTTGGCCGCCTCCAGAGATGCTATGAGACGCTCTTAGCAACAGAGAGAAACAAGCGGTAACCTAGCAACAGCTGGCGAAAGACCTGGCCCCACCTGCCGGCCAAGACCCTCTTTTGGAGATTGGCGGACGGACGCGTCGTCGGCCAGGCTCCGCCCCAAGGCCCTCGATTTGCATACGCAGCTCACGACCAGGTCGCCCCGCCTTCGACCCCCGCTCTTTGCATATCACCAGGGCGACGGGGCGGGCGCGCGCTCCCGGGCCCCGGCGCGGGGAGACGCAGGGCACGTCGCAGCCCACCGAGGGCGCCGCTACGTCCACTGGCTGCGTCAGTGCGTCCGGAAGTGCTTGGGGCGGCGACCATGGCGGCCGCCATGGCAGCGGCGGCGGCCGCTGGTCTGGGTGGGGGTGCAAGCCCGGGGCCCGAGGCTGGGGACTTCTTGGCCCGGTACCGGCTGGTGTCCAACAAGCTGAAGAAGCGTTTTCTGCGGAAGCCGAACGTGGCGGAAGCCGGCGAGCAGTTCGGCCAGCTGGGCCGCGAGCTGCGCGCCCAGGAGTGCCTGCCATACGCGGCCTGGTGCCAGCTGGCCGTGGCGCGCTGCCAGCAGGCGCTTTTCCACGGGCCCGGCGAGGCGCTGGCCCTCACCGAGGCCGCGCGCCTCTTTCTGCAGCAGGAACGCGACGCGCGCCAGCGCCTGGTCTGCCCCGCCGCCTACGGGGAGCCGCTGCAAGCCGCCGCCAGTGCCCTGGGCGCCGCTGTCCGTCTGCACCTGGAGCTCGGCCAGCCGGCCGCCGCTGCCGCCCTGTGCCTGGAGCTGGCCACGGCCCTGCGCGACCTGGGCCAGCCGGCCGCCGCCGCCGGCCACTTCCAGCGCGCCTCCCAGCTCCAGCTGCCCCAGCTGCCCCTGGCTGCGCTGCAGGCGCTCGGCGAGGCCGCCTCCTGCCAGCTGCTGGCGCGCGACTACAACGGCGCCTTGGCGGTCTTCACACACATGCAGCGCCTGGCGCGGGAGCACGGCAGCCACCCCGTGCAGCTGCCGCCGCCTCCCTCGCCGCCACGAGGGCCTCAGCCTGCGCTCTGCGCTACACAAACGGTGCCCGCTGTGCAGCTCCCTCCGAACGCCGGTTCTGCGGCGCCTTCGCCCGCTGCCCTGGGCGCCTTCTCGGACTTGGTGGTCCGCTGCGAGGTGTCTCGCGTGCTGCTGCTGCTGTTACTGCAGCCGCCGCCTGCCAAGTTGTTGCCAGAGCACGCCCAGACCCTGGAGAAGTACTCCTGGGAGGCTTTTGACAGCCACGGGCAGGAAAGCGGAGGCCAGCTGCCCGAGGAGCTCTTTCTGCTCCTCCAGTCCCTGGTCATGGCTACCCAGGAGAAAGACACAGAAGCCATCAAGGCGCTGCAGGTGGACATGTGGCCACTGTTGACTCCAGAGCAGAACCACCTCCTTCACCTCGTTCTGCAAGAAACCATCTCCCCCTCAGGACAGGGGATCTGATGGTGAATCACATTAACTAAGTAAACCTCACCCATCCATGTTTGCTTTGGGGAGAAGTAAAAGACATTGTTCCAAGTTCTATGTTGTATGTTATCCTGTTGCCATTGTAGGAATGTAGTTGTCTGATAGGTACCAAAAAACTTATTTCCAAGTACATTTTCACAGAATAGTGGACTAGGCTGGCTTAAAAACCAATTCAACATAAAAATGAGAATCCCTTTAATTTCCTTCTTCTCCCCACCCCTCACCGCCTCCAACTCCCATTTTTGTTTCATAGTAACTGTGTCATTTTGCACTGCTCTGTTTAAATGCAATGTGCCTAAGCTGTGTGCTTTCATCGTGGCACTTGACTTAGACACTAGTGCAGGGGTCCTCAAACACATGCGGCCCGCCTAGGACATTTATCTGGCCTGCTGGGTGTTTTTCCTCTGCTGTCTGTTCTGCTTAGCAGCCGACTCATCCCGGGGCCACAGTCTGACCCTCCAACCGTCTGAAGGACAGTGAACTGGCCCCCTGCTTAAAAAGTTAGAGGACCCCTGCTAGTGTTTCTGTGTCTTGGTGATCACCCATTTGCTCCCTTGATTCACCTGCACCAGGCCTACACATGGGAGTCATTTTATTCCTTACAACCTGTTGTTGCTGGAGCCCTCAATCCAGGATGAGGCTAATGCCCCTCACCTGTGGTTTAGATGTACTCCAGCTATACAGTGTGACTATCGTACCTACTTGTCTGGGGCTTGCAAGAGGCTGCCCCAGATAACTCTCTTTCAGTGCCAGGATGCATTCCTTCATTTGAAATTTACAGTAGGCCTAGTATGTGGGCTAAGGGAGAGCAGTGAGAATCTACAGAGACCATCCATGAGGCAGGCCCTACCTCCTATCATTGCAATGCAGGTGTGTCCATTGCAACAGTTCTATCCATTTGCATGGGAATTTGTTCTGGCTTTATACCCTAGAGGTATCTGGAATCCACATTGCAACTTTTATTTGCCATAGGGATCTTGCTGCAACTTTTATTTAACTCGAAAATGTAAAATCCGTGTGTAGCTAATTGATTGGTATTGTGTGATCATGTGATTGCAAGGCAGTGTCTTGCTGGTTCCCCTAAGGTAGGATGGTGTTCCATTGTAAAATACTTAAGTTTCCAGTGCCCTTTGGTACATGCAAACCAGGTTAGCTATTTCTTACTGATTGTTTTTACCCTTTTGACAGTGATCACTTTTGGGAAAATGCATTCTTTTGGCTGAGACTGTACACAGTACTAATCTTTGGGGCTGAGATTTAAGGACCCAGTTGGGGGGAGGTGATTTTTTGGTCACCTTGTTGTTCAGAGGTTGAGGGAGAGGTGTGGAGGGTGGTCACTGTCAGTTAAGTGCCTCAAAATGGGTGGGACTTTTAGGGTATTCTTTTCTGCTTCAAGGAGGT